TGGAAATATTTAGAAGAGTTCAGTTTTAGCTACTTTTAACTTTTAATAATAAAATTAAATTCTGTATTTATTATGTGTTAATGGAAGTTTAATTTTTTTTTTTTTTTTTCGAAATATTTATTTTTTTTTCTACTAATTGATGAAACTGATTTTTGTTTAGGAGTTTTTTCTTTTATAGAGAACATATTATTATGGTTATAGCAATATATCAGATTTTCAATTTAGTTATCTATATTTTTTTTTTAATATTTGTTTTTCTAGAAGGTTGCCATTTTTTGACTATTCAGAAGTTTGTTGTATATTTGTTTATTATTTGTGGATGTTGATACTTTTTGATTAGAGAAAGTTTTTTTTTTTTTGGATTTAGCTGGAAAAGGTAAACATAAACAAGAAAGGATTTATTAAATGTTAATCATTTGTCTGAGAGCTTGTGATGTAGTATGTAAAAAATAATACAGGGCAAACTATATTATACAGAAATAATTGAACTTAGAAATAAAAATAAAAGTAACCTTTTAATTGGCAGCATTATGTTTTTAAATTTTCCTTAATCTATAATTGCATGTTTTGAATGCTTGCCTTATAAAGCTGCTTCAAAAAAGAATTTAATAATTAATAAGTTCACAAACAATTAATTAAAATAAAAAGTTTCACATACATGGTATTACCTAAATCAAGTCAAAAATTTTTCTTATTTTAATCAATTTAAAAAAAAAAAAACTCAAATGCAAGTCAGAGTATTAAGATAACAAACTGGAATATTGATTGACACTATAAAAAAATTATTAAACAGATTTGGTCATGTTCAAGATCATTACGATCACAATGCTACTGGTACTATGTAACCTAGTACTATCCTTCTCATGCCTTGCTGCTTTGTACAGTGTTTTTTTCTTAGCAGAGACATGGAGAAACTAACTGAATTTGAATAATCCCTTACTTTGGGGCTCTTGGTTGAGTAAAGGCTAGAGATTATTTTTGATAAAAATACTTGTCTTGGGCAGATGTTAACTGAATCCAGCTTCAGTTCTTCTACCTTTGGACTCTCGTTTGAATGAAGGCTAGAGATGGTGTCTCAATAAAAATATTCATCTTGGGTAGTAGTTAACTGCATTTAGCTGCTTGTAAATGGTCTCCTAGGCAAAAACTCTAGGGGTAAATGGAATATTTCTGCTAACTAGCTTCGAACCTCTTCTTTATCTGTTAGGTTGGCATAACAGTAAACCTGTATTAAATTATTTCCTGCTAAAGATAATGAATGCTAGATCTTCTTGCCTTTTTTCATAGGTTTTTGCTTGTGCCTCCTTGATAGTGTTTATGCAACTCTTTGTGTTATCACTTAATCAAGGTAAATATCTAAAACTCCGTTTAATGGTTCTAAGTTAGACTAGTAGTAAGGTTTTACGAACTATGTGGTAGCTCTGTGGTTTCCAGAACTGTGTGGCTCTCAGAGAGGCTGATTCCATCAACAGCTGCCAAATATCAGAGTATTAAAATTGTCATCTTGCTCATGGATGGTATTCCTGTGAATGCTTTTGGTGTTCATTGTTGAGCCCACTATAAGGACCCCTATGTTGTGGCTTTGGGTTAATTAGCAGGACTGAGAAAATTGCATAGCTCATTTCTTAGGAGGCCAGGCTCTATCTATGAATGAGTCAAGCTCTCTTTAAATTTAAATCATGCCAAAAATAACCCAAAATATTTAACATAAAAACCATTCCCACTACCTAACTGTTTTAATATATCTTTTACTAATTTTTGTGGTCTGCGAAGCAACCTTTCACAAGACTTGCTTGCTCTTAGGAAGATTAATTTAAATTCTGCGAGTTCCTTCTGTCTCATCTCTTTTGATCTCATTGATGGGTTCCTTCCTTTAATTTGCAAAGACTTCAATAGTCACATACTTGGCATGGAGGTATACATATGCATCAATTTACCTATTTTTCATAAAATTAGGTTTGAATCCTTTACCATTCTTTTATGTACTTTGACTTAGCCCCTCTTCACTCTATCACCGTTCAGTTTTTTCTTTTTTCGTTTTTAGGTGGTTCTGACCATGCAATGATCTCATTAAATTTTTTATCTCGTACTTCTTTTTCAAACTCACCCTACCATCCTACTACTTACTACTACCCTAAAGGTGAATAGGAGACTTTTCATGATTTTGTTGGTGATGGTCCTTAGGCTCATGTCTTTTACCTCTCAGCTGAAAAATGCGCCTTCTAAACTTGAGCCTCTTTTCAATTGTTTTAAAGTTGCATCTTTTCTACAAATACTATCATGTTCGCTGCTCCAAGAAGCAATTATCTCTAGCTCCATCAAATAAAACTCATTCTCGCTTGACTCGTCATTCAGCAAATTCACGATATTTTACTGTATCTGTCCCTGCATGCTTAAAAAACTTTTATTTGTCTATTTTTTTTTTCCTTGCACATCAACCTTATGGAACTCTCTTCCATCTTCAATTTTTCCTGACTAACTTTTCAAGTCTTCTGTCAACCGTTTTTTTGCTCTATAACTCTGTTGATTTTTTCTAGTAACTCCCAGCTTAGTAGTGGTTGCTTGCAGCCTTGTTGGGAGTGAATCATAATAAAAAAAATAAAAAATAAATAAGTTATTTAAATCTAAAAAAAAAAATTTAAATTTATTTTATAGTGTCCTAAGTAAAAAAAATTTTTTTTTTTATTTTGTTAAATGTAAGTTTTCCTTTTTTTCTACTTTTTAACCAATTTTTTGTTGTTACACTTGGTAGCTTTAAGTTATAAAGTGTAACCACAATCTGTCAAAAAATTTTCAATGAATTGAATACAAATAATTTTGAAGATGCAAATATTATCTGCTAACTAAAAGAAAGCATTGAAATCATAGATCTCATCAATAATTTTCAAGAAGTTATGAAAAAAAAAGAAGAATTATATAAATGATATCAATCCTTGAGTCAAAAATAACATTTAACAAGGATATACTAATAAACAGTAGGGCAAGAAATTGCAGTTAATCACAGTGAACCACAATAACCGCCAGGTTTGATGTCTGCGCACATCCATTATTTTTTTTTTATTAGGAAGTAACCACTACTAAGCTGGGAGTTACTAGTAAAAATGAACTTAGTATAGAAAGTATCAACATAGTATATAAATTAGGTAAAGGTATTAAAAACCTCCATAGGAATGGCTAGAATAAAATTTTTACACACCTAAACTTTAGATAAAAAGGGAGAGGCGGTACATGGTTAACTTTATCGAAGTTCATATATTTCACATAATTTTATAAAGAAACCTAATTTTTACTGTGTTCTTGT